TTTGATATTAAAACTATATTAAAAACAGCGGCCATTTAATTTCTATTTGTGTGGAAATATATTGATGTTTGCTATTAAATACGATTGTCTTGTGTTTAAATACAAAGCATGCGTTTTTTTTTTAAACAATTTAATTGACTGACAATAAACATCATTTCTAGAATCATTATTATGAGATGCAATTTTTATACATTAAGAAAGTCCCTATTTTTTAGAGCTACCCCTACATATCTAATGTTTATTTAAATATTAGTTCGAGTTAATTGTTATTGTTTGTTTGCTATTTTCATTTCATATTTTCATGTTTTTTTCCTTTAATTAGTGATTTAATCATAAATGACGACACGTTTTTTTTACCTTTCTTCATCTTAACCCCCCTCCCCCCATTTTTGCCGTCACGAAATAGTCGTAATGTCGAAAACTAACTTTTTTTCCCTGTCTGTTAAGTCAAGCCATAATTCTAACAAAAAATATTTGTTTTCATCATTTTTGTATTAGGCGAAATACATAACCTTTCACGTTTCTTACCCCTCCACATTCCCATGTAAAACGTCTCAAAACCAGTTACTCCACCCCTTAAGTGTGTGATGTCATTTATGGTAGTCCTAACCACCAATATACATTTTGAATAACCTTTGTTGTCAAAATGTTGATACCAAATACCCAAAATGGTTGTACATAAACGATGTCAAATATGCTATGCTAATGTGACGTCAACTTATGCAGGACCGCAATGTATGACCTATAATGAAGGGGTGGTCAGGGGTGGGGGGATGCATGACGTCATTTATGGAAGACTTCTAAAATTCTGTGCTCAATGAAAATGAGGAGCATAAAGCATTCGTTTTCATGCATACCTTTGCTCATAACGAATGATCATAACTATTGCAAGACTGTTGTCCTAAGCGGTGTTAAACACCCTCAGCACAACATCCCCGCCAAAAAGGGCCTGCCACTAAATGCCTACCGACAAAAATATTGACCATATTTGGTCACTGATTGTTATTTCAAATCAATTATCTGTTATATTTTGTAAAATTTGACTTAAATATACTTATTTAAACAAATATATTCATCAGTTACCTCTCCCGCACATTACTACTGCAGCCGAAATTGATTACGCTAAAATGATAGATTAGCTCAAATAGTATAGTGTATAGGCCTACTATAGTACTATACTATAGGCCTAGGCCTATAATATTAAATGATATTAGGCCTATTAGTATTAGTAGTAGCCTACTAATTTAATATAGTTGTATTTGCTCAATTATTTAGGTAATCTATCATTTTATTTTTAGGTACTTAAAATTGGCCGAGGCTATGTAAACAGCGACCATTAGTAAGTTAGAGTGATTTCCTCTGAATCTCTAACTATAATTTTACAAACTTGATGGTTGCTAAAGTAAATGAGCATGGTTTCATCTGATAAAAGCATCACTAGTCTTTATTTATTACTGAAAAGTTTTAATACAAATGTTTAAAAACAGGTACATGAATGAAACTTTGAAACATTTTTGTAACTTTCAAAACATAAATCCTCCTAAAAATGTAAAATAATTACTAAAATTTAACGAGTCACCTTTTTAACATTACTACTCTTGGACGATTTTATGTACTTAAAATAATAGATTACCTTTCTTTAGTACTACTAATTTACCAAACAGTTTTGTAAGCAGTTTAGCTAATACTAGTCTGTCTCCTTACCGAAACCAGATCTAACCCTGAAATGTCACACCCTGTTTCTTTTCATTTTTTACGTTTATTTTAGGTGTCCTAAAATTGAATCAGCTCTGCTTTATTTTATTTTTTCACATAGGAAACTGCACAAGTTTTCTTTTTTTTTTTATTAATCTTTTCTTGATCAAAATAATATTTAAAAAAAAAAATATTCAAGATTTTTAAAACATTGTCACTTGTAAGATCAACTGCTTTCATTTTCTTGTCTATTGGAGAAAAATCTTAACATGGTCAAAGGTTCACATTGAGTTTAGCAGGCCTATAGCATTTGTCTTAGCATGAACGATTGCTGTTTGAGATCCTCTTTGGTCACTCCCACATACCCCCCCCCCCCCTTCATAAACCAAGCATATTGTAATATTTCCAAATTTAAAAATTAGGTGGGCCTAAAATTACATTTTCTTCAAGATATCCTTAATCATCTGATGAGTTTAAAAGTGTCAGCCACTATTGCATAAATTGTTCTTTTTTTTTTATTTAAAAAAAAAATGGCAAAAATTGCCTTGTGAGTGAAATTATCATCTAAGCCCCCAAACCTTTCTTAATGAACACTCTACCATGCGTGGATTGTCTCCATTTGTTGTCTGACATCTCAAAGTGATAATAGATCAATGTCGGTCCAAATTCTATGTCTGCTTCACTACATGCATACCACTAATACACTTATGACAAACAACAGTTAGACAAACAAACACCCTTCCATACACCCTTCAGTCAACCTCATCTGTCCTAGCATTTAAGCTCTAAAAATAATTAAACTAGAGGTTTTATTTTGAAAAAAGTTTTTTTTAGAACTAAAACAGGGAAGATACGCAAATTGAGAGATGGGGGAAAATACACAGAAAAACAAATAAACATACAATTAGGAAATAAGTGAAAGCTAATGACAAGATGTAAAAAAATGCTCACACAAATATCATAATAGAGAATGTGTGTGTAGTACTTTTTATAGTGTAGCTTTGATCACCTATATCACAAGCTGGTCACTTCACTTCACATACTGATCACTTGTTTACAATTTAAATATAGACCTATTGATTCTCTTTTTAAAAATTTTACCCCCACCTCTCCCCGTAAAATAAAAGTTATTTTTTAGATCAGTGGTTCCCAACCTTTTTCGAGTGGCGACCCCCTTTTATAAAAAGTAAGTGACCCGCGACCCCCATAGAATTAAAAAGCCGAAATTAGTAGGGAAATTAATAAGCAATAAAATAAGATTTTCTAGTAGACTTTCAATATGAACTACTCTTGATAACTGTTTTAATAGTTTGAGTAAAATTGCATACTATTCACTAAACCTTCGTGGTTAAGTTCATAATTTAAAAAAAAATTTTTTTAGCGCCAACCTATGTCATTATAATTATCTTAATTTTGTTTTTAATAGAAGAAAATATATTCTCGAAAAGTCAATCAATTTTACGTTTGGGTATGAATGGTGAATACTACACCAAAATTGTGTCTGCAGTTTTTCATCTTACTCGTAATCATTCTGCAAATCAAAGAATTCATCTTGTAATTCATCGGGAATGCTGGCAACAACAAGGGAAGAAGAGAATGGGTAATGCGTAAATGCAGATTCTTCTTTTTTCAGCTCAGAGAAATAGCGATGCAGTTCGTTTTCAAGAGATTCAAGATGCCCAGAAATCGCTTCTTTCAAAATTTTAATTATCTCACAATTAGATTCATCTACCACACCGCAGAGTTTCTCAAATTTACAATATTTCCAAGATTTATTCTCTTTACCGATTTTGCAGCTTTGATAAAAATGCCATGAGATTATCATGGAAAGTTATAATATTCGTTCATTTTCCCTGAAGCTTCAGGTTAAGCTTATCTTGATGTTCGAACTCATCTGCTAGGTATGATACTCTTTTCAATCACTCTATGTCGTTTTAAGTATACCAAAAGGTCTTGTTTTCTTTGCACTCCCAAGAACAATTTGATTTATGTAGTGTACTGCGTACTGTAGTGTAGAAGAGCAGAACCTCGTAATCTATATTAATGTTTTTGCTCAGTTTTTTGAAGGCTCCAGATTTTATATAATTTACGACTTATACTAGCAATGGACTCTTGATGTCGATTGGTTAGGGCAGTGGTTAGGGAGCTAAATCTTTTCTGTTTTCTGAAAGGCCGATTTTGAGCTAAACATAGATGGCGCGCCATCCGTACAAACTCCCCACAGCCGTTCTAACCCATTTTAATCATCCAGTTTCAAAAAAGGTATTTATTTTCTCCATGCTATCTTCACAAAAGAGCAACTCTTCTTTGCTATCATCCGCATGAATATAGACACAGACCAGCAACTGCGAACATGAACTCACGTCTGTTGATTTATCAACTTGAAAAGCAAACAATGGTGAAAGCTTAATTTCAATAAAATGTGTTATTTAATATTTACGTACATGCAGCGTTTGATGAGATTTTCTCCTATTGTTTTTTTTTTGCTTGCTTGTTCATTTGATGCTTGCACTAATGCTGGTGAAAACTTCCTGTTCGATCAGGTCTCTGGCGTTTGCAACTAGCTTTTTACCGACGAAAGAACGCCATGTATTTTTTGGTGTGTTCCGAATGACTCGCCTCAAATGACGTTTTAGTTTTAAAGATTTCATTGATTCGTGACTGAGAACAGCTTTGTCCAGTGCGCTTTGTTTCTTCTCTATTACATTTCCAGTGATGTTAATGAAGCTGAATTTTAAAAATTCTTCTAAATATTTATATTTTGTTTCAAATTATTAAGGTTTAGTATACCAGTTGGCGACCCCCCAGAAAGACCTTCGCGACCCCCCTGGGGGTCGCGACCCCCAGGTTGGGAACCCGTGTTTTAGATTATTGACATCATATGTATTATATTTATTCTGTATCATATATTTGTGTACTAACCAATTAAAAAATCATTTGGTTCTTTTATTATTTAAATAATGCACTTTAAACAATGAAATATTTTAACAATAATTTAATTCATAATAAATAATATAAATACACCATCATATATTATTATTATAATGAATTATGTATTATGTATTTTTTAAGTATATTTAAAAAATTGGCAGCTCCTGGTCTACTTATAGCTTTGGAAATTCTAAATCTCTATTTTTAAATCACATCTTACTAAATAAACAGATTAATAGAACTTCTGGTATCTGCCAAAATTTCTGTTATTTTACTATTAACATGTTGTTTTAGCTATATAATCACAACCAACTTTAACATTTTAATTAAATTGTTTTTTAAATCAGCAGTTCAATTATAAGTAGCAGAGCAGCATGGAGAAGGAAACAGAGGATTTAGCTGCTATTTCAACTGAAGTAGATAGCAGTTCAAATGAATCAACAGAATTTTCAACTTCTGAAGATTTGAAACAAGATCTATTAAAATTAATTTCATCTTCTGATGGCATAAAAACAGAATTAACATTTTTGACTTCCCATGATATAAAACCCAACATGACTTTTTTAACTTATCAAGCGGTTACACATGATGTTATTCCAGAATTTTCAGCTTCTAAAGACATCAAAACAGAATTAAAATTTTCATCTTATGAGGACACTAAACCGAACATGACATTTATAACTTCTCAAGATGTTAAACCTGTTGTTACACCAGAATTTTCCTATGCTGATACCATAAAAACTGAATTGTCAACCTTTTCATCTTTTGATGATGTAAAACACATTACATTTACAACTTCTCAAGATGTTGAACCTGGTGTTACAACAGCATTTTCAACTGGTGAATCAGTATGTTCCACATCTAAAGATACAGAACTAGAATTAGCAACTTTATCAACTAGCAGAACTTTAAAACCAGATTTATTGACAAAAAAAGTTCATTTGGTATTAGAAAAGAAATATGAATGTGTTATTTGTCATAAAAGGTATGCACACAGATCTAGTTTAAGTGTACATAAAAAAGTTCATACAGGGGAAAAGCCTCATGAATGTGATGTTTGTCACAAAAGGCTTAAAAACAGATCTAGTTTTAATACACATAAAAAAGTTCATACAGAGGAAAAGCCTCATGAATGTGATGTTTGTCAGAAAAGGTTTTCTAGACGCCATGATTTAAGTAATCATAAAAAAGTTCATTCTGGAGAAAAACCACATGAATGTGATGTTTGTCATAAAAAGTTTATTCAGAAGATAAATTTATTACATCACAAAAATGTTCATTCAGAAGATAAGCCATATGAATGTGATGTTTGTCATAAAAAGATCTCAGACAAATTTTATATTAGTAAACACAAAAGAATTCATACAGGAGAAAGGCCATATGAATGTGATGTTTGTCATAAAAAGTTCTCCTACAAAAATTATCTTAGTAAACACAAAAAAATTCATACAGGAGAAAAGCCATATGAATGTGATGTTTGTCATGAAACATTTACTCACTATTGTAGTTTAAGTAGACACAAAAGAGTTCATTCTTATGTTAAACCCAAAATTACATTTACAACTTCTCAAGAAGTTGAACCGGGTATTACGACAGCATTTTCAGCTGGTGAATCAGTATTTTCCACATTTAAAGATACAGATTTAGAATTAGCAACTTTATCAACTAGCAGAACTTTAAAACCAGATTTATTGACGAAAAAAGTTCATTTGGTATTAGACAAGCAATATGAATGTGTTATTTGTCATAAAAGGTATGCACACAGATCTGGTTTAAGTGTACATAAAAAAGTACATACAGGGGAAAAGCCTCATGAATGTGATGTTTGTCAGAAAAGATTTTCTAGAGGCTGTGATTTAAGCATACATAAAAAAGTTCATTCGGGAGAAAAACCACATGAATGTGATATTTGTCATAAAAAGTTTAGCCGGAAGATATATTTATTACATCACAAAAATATTCATTCAGAAGATAAGCCATATGAATGTGATGTTTGTCATAAAAAGTTTAGTCAGAAGATAAATTTATTACATCACAAAAATGTTCATTTAGTAGATAAGCCATATGAATGTGATGTTTGTCATAAAAAGTTCTTAGACAAATATTATATTAGTAAACACAAAAGAATTCATTCTGAAGATAAGCCATATAAATGTGATGTTTGTCATAAACAGTTCTCAGACAAAAATTATCTTAGTAAACACAAAAGAATTCATTCAGGAGAAAAGCCACACAAATGTGATATTTGCTCAAAAGAATTTTTTCGCAATAGTAGTTTAAGTAAACATAAAATAGTTCATTCATATCATCCTGGAGATAAGCCATATGAATGTGATGTATGTCATAAAACGTTTGCACACAGTTCTATTTTACATACACACAAAAGGGTTCATACAGGAGAAAAGCCTTATGAATGTGAACTTTGTCATATTAGATTTTCTCGAAAATCTAGTTTGAATACACATAAACTGGTTCATGTAGAAAAAAAAGCCTTATGAATTTAATGTTTGTCGTAAAATACTTTTTCATAAAAATATTTCAACTAGTCATTATAAAATTCAGTCAGGAGATTTACCATGAATCCTTAACACTTACAACTTTCAGTTTCTAATGCTTGAAAATTCGCCAGTTATATAGCATATTTAAATTTGAAGGAAAGAAAGGCTAAAGCTACCGCAATTCGTTATTGTTATGTCCCTTGTGATACATATATGTTAATGATGTATTACATATATGTTAATGATGTATCTTGAATGTCTTATTTCTGTGTGGTGATGTCTTGCTGATGATGCAGTGAGTTTTTTATTAATGGAGTCTTGAGAGAAGACAAATAAGCCTACTACATAAAGTATTGAAGCTAACATGATAGTTTTCTGCTGTTATATTCCTAGTGCTAAATAAAATAAATATGTTACATTTGTTATAGTTTAACATTTTGTATCTTATTTTAGCACAATATATGCCTAGTCATATTTTAATTTTGTATTTAATAATATATACTAAAGTGAAAATGAAATGTCAATGGATTGTATCTTTAAATCAATCAAAATTGCTAAAACTTATGTCAATATGAATGCATATTTATATTTTATTTCCACTAAAGTGAAATGTTAACGTTGAATTTAACTTTAAATAGATTAAAATTGCTAAAACCTGTCATTATTGTCATGTCAATATCTATATATATTTAAAAATGTTCATTATACACCACTATCTGTATGTTAACATAAATTACAATGAGGCCCATGTGTTTTGAATGCTGGGGTGTGTTTACCCTCCTGTGATGCTGCAATGCCTGAACATACCAGGTAGTTGAAGGGCAGACAACAAAGGCTTAGTTTGACCCTTGATATTAGACAATTTATCACTTGTTTTAATATTTTTCTTCTGATTATATATATGAGAAAATGTAAAGAAAACAGTTACTTTCCTCATTCAACATATTTCAAAACATAAAATAAATAAATGTTAACCTGTCCAATCTAGGGTACTGTCAACTAAAACAGATTGAATGAGTATATGCAGTTGATTCTATTTTTACTAATGGCCCTATGACTTCATCATAATTAAATGCAAAATAAAGCAATTGTTGAAATTATTATTACAAAACTTCAAATAGAAAATGGGATATTTAATATTATCACTTTCCTTGGCCTTGTTAAGACCACTATCACAGATTACCATTATTTATGTTTTTTAATTTCAAGTACTCTCATGGCTGTGGGGGAGACACTATATATAGTAATATTGCACCATGTTACATTTCTGGCTCGCTATCACTGGTGCTTCACCTTGAATAGTAACATTAGGTAGTCCAAACTAAAATTAACTATTGATTGCAGACTTCTGTAGTGAGTATTTCCTGAAAGAAATTGTAAAATTGTAAGCTCTATGACACAAATTTTATAAAAATATCTCAATAAAAAAAGTTATGCGTTGCTAAAAAACTGATTTTCAAAAAGTGTCGTTTTTGAAAACTCATATTTTCTAAACTAAATAACATAGAAGTGTAGAAATTGGTAAAGTTGCTGCAAAGTTTGTAATATATATGCCCAATTTTTTTCAGTCATCTAAAATGAGTCATTTTTTTTGGACATAGAATAACTCTAAAACTTTTGTGTTGGTAACATTAACAGGAAGAATGTGTTCACTATTTTCAAAAATCACATGAGTTAAAATATTATTTTAAAAAATGCCACATTTATCTAGCGCAGAAGAAACAGAATCTAAATTTAGTAAGATTATAATGTAATGAAGTCTAATAAAGACTTGATGCCCACAAGTGATGCAGCATGCTTTGGTTTCTTTTCCAACCTATCTGGTTGATAATTGCTTTGGGGGAAAAGTTTTCAGAACTACAACTCCACATCTTTGTAAGTCTTGTTTCCCTCAACCTTGATCTTGTGGAGCATCAAGAGTAAGCGATTTGTTTTGGGAACTGTAGGTAGAGGCGTAGCGACCCTTCCCGGCGCCCGGGGAAACTTTCTATTTGCAACCCCCCTCGAACTTTTGATTTGCACCCCCCCCTCAAACTTTCAATTTGTTTTTCCAACCCATTTTGCCCCCCCCCCCTAAGGTCAGTGCCTGGACACATATGTCCCCCCTTGCTACGCCTCTGACTGTAGGGAGTGGATGGCCTCCTTCCTTTGTAAGGAAAGTTATGGATAGACCATCATAAATGTCTCCAGCTATAGAATAAACAGTTGATTTAGTGATTAAAAATATATTAAATTTACTACTAGCCTATTGTGTAGGCATACTATTTGTCCTATATCTATAACTAGAAACATGAAAAAACCTGAAAACACCTTTTTTTAAAAAGTAATTTATACTTGATAGTATATTCTTAATAGTAGTAGTAGGTCTACTGAATGAAATATTCGTTGCTTGTGCCACACTGGTAGAGATATCCAATGATGAAGATGATATACTGTGGTTCTCAACTTAACTGTCCTTCATTGTTACTATATGCATATAAAAATTAATGAGAAACACTACTAGTACCACTTACACTTACAACTAATATAACATTTTAACTAAGTCAAAACATGTACAATCTTAATAAATTGCACCGCCATCTAAAAATTGATCTGGTATATTTTATAAAGGAGACTTTAGGATGTAATATATTGAGAATTGTGAAGTCAAGGGAACTCACTCTTCTCGTATTAATCTTAAATTTATAATGTTGTTTTGGGTGATGTCCCTTGTTTTATGTATTTGTGACTTCCTGTTCCTGTTTCCGTCATGTTAGCTGATGGTGGCTGATTAAAAGATCTATATACAAACAGCATGGTTTCTGTCGTCAGTGTTTCAATCTACCTCATAGGATACTGGCGCAGATCAGTGTTGTTATCAACTCCCAAAAGTTTGATGGCGATCAGATGAACGGTGAGAAACCGCAATCGACTTATATCGCAACTGATACTTTTCAAACAAATATAAAACACATTCGAACATGGGTTACAGGATAAAAGATTTTGACAGATAAAGACAAGCTTTATTGACAGACAATTTTTATTCTTATAGTACAACTAGAAGTAGTGAAATTTTATGTTTGAATACCGCAAAAATGACATTGAAAACGCAATTTTCGCCAGTATGGACTACCTAGTAACATTCCTTTGTACATCTGTCCAAATAATATTTTTAAGCTACACAACTTCCAAAAACTAGAAATATTCTTATTAATGATGGGGAAAGTTGTGGTCGGATAGTAGAGCATACGACTGCTAACCTGAAATACACTCAGAGTCCACCCAGCTGTGATGGGCACCTGACACACGTTCGTTCGCCAGGTTCTAAAGGACAGTTTACTCACTAAAGACTGTTTGTGTTTTACCGTGTTGAGTTGCTCTAAAGGACAGTTTACTCACTAATGATTGTTTGTGTTTTACTGTGGTGAGTCGCGCAATATCGACACCATGTTTCACTTTTGCCGATTTCTACAACTCCCATCTCTTTCTCCACAAAACTCCAGACACACAAGTCACACTTAGCCTACTTTGTGGTGTGACAGTGAAGGATACCAAAAGGAATATAAAATAGTAACAAGCTCGATTTTCAGCTGTAGTGGTTTTGAAGGGCGTTTTATCCACAGCGTAAATTTGAAGTATTTTTAACACGATCGGTGTGTTGCGACAGTCTCCAGGCATCTGCCCCCCCCCCCCCTAGAAAGTCTACCCCCTTCCGAACGAAATGGAATTTATATAGAAAATGTATACCTTTTACATTGTTTACATTGTCCGCCCCCTCCCGGAAAATTTAGTCCACGCTCCCTCCCCGAAAATTTCAAGCCCCCCCCTCTCCCCTTGAGAAAAATGTCTGGAAGAAACACTGGTCTCCCGATGCACAAACCTTGCCGCAGTTTGTCAGCTTTCGTGTGCAAACACCATTCAGATATACGCCAGGGTGTGTGTGTTGTGGACACTTTAGTTAGCAGGTCCAATCGAACCGAAAGGTGTGCGTGGTGTGGACTCTTTAGTTAGCAGGTCAAATAAAGCGGACAGGTGTGCGTGGTGTGGACACTTTAGTTAGCAGGTCCAATCAAAGTGCGTGTTGTGGACACTTTAATTAGCAGGTCCAATCAAAGTGCGTGTTGTGGACACTTTAGTTAGCAGGTCCAATCAAAGTGCGTGTTGTGGACACTTTAGTTAGCAGGTCCAATCAAAGTGCGTGTTGTGGACACTTTAGTTAGCAGGTCAAATCAAACCGAACAGGTGTGAGTGTTGGGAAAAGGGACAGACTAAAGGTGGATTTTTCCCCATACTCCCTTCACAAAACTTTGGATTGGTGCGATAGTTTAAGAACTGCCCATGGAAAAATTATAAGTATTGAAAGAAAAAGTAAAAGCCCCTGTTAGGTGAGGCTCGATAGCTGGCCACAGCAACTCATCTAGGAGAGAGGCAACAAGTTATTAAAAAGTCTAGTGACAATTTAAGCGCAATTTCCTTATGTTATCCATAACAATTTTAAATCGAGATAAATCATATATTCAGCAAATAAATAATGCAACACAAGTAGTTTTAATAATTCAAAACAAAATAGAAAACAAATATTTCAATAACTAAAGTAATAATAATTTTAAAACATTATCTATCCAGGGCTATCAGCAATGAAAACTTCCATGGAAGACATACTGGCCACCAGTTGTTACGGTTGTTTGTACACAAATTACAGTTACTGGGTTATGTCCCTTTTCCCCCACGTTTTTACTACAACGAGCCGACCCGCGGCGTATCATACGCCGCTATTTAGTTGATTTATTTTCTACTTTTCAGTAATTCATAATTTGTGAATTCGACAGTACCAATGCTGCCACTGAAAATATTTGCTTTAAAACACTAACCCCCCTCCTTTCCCCTAACCCCGACCCTACACCCCCCCCCCCGTGAAAGCAGCCTCCTCTTAGTTACCTCCTGTAAGTTTAAAGTCGGTTCAAACTAAATTATCTGCCCCTAATAGCCGTCACTAAACCTGGCTGTACGGTTTGTAAACATTAACGTGACCACAGCTCAGCAGACCATGTGGGGGTGGGGTAGGGTGGTAGTGATTGTGATAGAGAGAAAGAGAGGGGACTGTAAGGAGGCGCTTGCAGCTTGTTTTCTAATGGCTCGCAGAGGAGAATTATATATATAGATTATATAGTGGTCTAAAATGCTCAATAAAATGTTTCCATGGATCAATTTAGTAATAATAACAATTGAATATTCTATGGTCATCCAAAAGAAAGCTTCCCTGAAAATTTCAGCGCGCTAGCTAACTGGGAAGTGCCAGAAATTTCGATCGCAAGATTTGATTGGAAAGACAAACAGAGACGAAAGCAAGTTAAAGAAAAAAACGTGGGAAAATAGATAGTGATCAAGTTTGTTTTT